ATCAAACCGCATAAAGCATGGACAATTGCTAAACAGTTTCCTGAACTTCTTGTCTCCGCCAAGTATGTTATTGACTTATGTTCTGTAGTACGTTATGAAGATTAACATTTACTTTGTGACAAATGTGGCAAGTTCTTCTTGAATATCGCTGAACACTTACTGGTATTCTGTGATTTTATACAAGACAAACGAGATGATCTATGGCAGGACATTAATTAACGTTAATCCCATTCAATTCAGTGTTTTTATGTACAGTCTTTCAGCACATGAATTCACAACAACAATCCTCTCATGCAATACGTCATATGAATTAGAAAATGACGAATTAACATTCTCTAAGATTTGTGTTCGTCGTGTGGAACAAATCTGCAGAGGTTTCCACAATCGATAGAAGATGTGTCCGTTATCGCTATTATTGACAGTGCTCATGATTTCTTATATTAACTTGAAACAGTAACTTAAATTCTTTGTTTTTAATTTTCTGATTTATATATTTCATGTACACCAAATCTCTATGATAGAGGAAATAAAGTTATATATATAGAAAACAACGAAAAATTATGTGTTATGCATTTCAGAACGGATAAATTCCAAATAAAAAAGAAAATATTCTATGCTTTAAATTATATATAATATTTTTATCGACTAGTATCGAATATCGATGTGTTGAATGGGTGTCTACCAGAATGTCACAATGAAAGCGTCTTCATTTTTTCTTTGAAAAATTAAGGACAAGTTGTTACACATCTTCAAAACGAGTAAAAACAAGATCAGTTTTTTTCGAAAAACATCACCATAATGTCAAATTCCTTTGCAAAAGGAACATTTGAACTATAAAGTAAAGAGTAATGTAAAAAATCATCAAAATAAAGCGGTCGCATGGTGGTCTACCAAAATGTCACAGCATCGCTAATTTGAAGTTCACTAAATATGTACTACAGGCAACGTATGTTTGCGTTATGGTGTTTTTGAAACGTATCTATTTTACTAAGAGAATACATAAAATATGAATTTATTTTTTAGTTCCCTTTGTTGAAATGTGTTCCTCTTTTCAATATAACAATTTTGTTTCAATAAAACCTGATTTGAGAACATTTCAATGTTCGAGACAGCAACTCAACAACAAATATAATACATGTTTACTCCATTCCGGAGACCAAAGAGGAAAATTAAATATTATTGCATCATACTTGTATAACATGAATATCTATTAATAGATTATTGATTAGTTTTTGACTTGTAATGAATTAACGCAAACTTTGGCACAACAGTGTATGTGCCGTACTATTTCAACACTGTTCCAGGTTAGGGAAGGGTTTGGCGCCAGCAAAGTGTTGAACTTCGCCACATTCTGTATGTGCATGTCCCAAGTCAGGAGCCTGTAACTCGTCTGATGTCGTAGTTTCTGTATAACATATTATTTTCCCGTTTATTGTAATGTAATTATATCAGGCCGTTACTTTTCTCGTTTGAATTGTTTAACCCTTTTTTTATTTAGGGGTCTTTTATAGCTTACTGTTCGGTATCGATTTTGCTCATTGTTGAGGGCCGTACGGTGATCTATAATAGTTGTTAAATTCTCTGGTAGAGAATTTTCTCATCGGCAATCATACCACATATTTTTTTCTATTAGTTATATAATTTCCTAGGCCTGGTTTGCGAGCGATCTAGGAAGTGTATCTAAAATAATCACTAGGATGCCAACACCAAGGTTGTAAATTCGATGAACCCCGCTGGAAGCAAGGGCGTTCGACTCCAATCCTTATTAACTACTTCTTTATTGTTCCGCACTCTCTTATTTAAAACAACATATTGTTGTCTTATTCCTTACACTCACTTTATTTGAACTTTGGTGGAGAGTTGTCCCATTGGCAATCATACCACATCTCCTTATTTTTATATTGACTGTTTACTTATTCCGTACTGTGTAATGTATTTGTATGTATTTGTTTTCGATCAATATACTTGTACTCATCATGGGTAAGACACAATACAGAACCGCATCCGAGTATAGCTTATTCAATTCATCTTCAACGCATTCTGAAACAAATACATTTTCCTTTTTGAAAACCAAACAAATGAGTGATGGAAATCTGCTGAGCACCACAAAATGCTTGTGTGGAATTCTTTATAATAATTTTGATTTCAAACAAGAACATTATGGTTTAAAGTCTATTTTTGAGATTAACGGACCGTTTTGGCTGCTGCGGAGCCTACACACTGAATGGATTTCTTTCTTATGTTTTATAGATATTTGCAAAGGAAATTTCAATGTCAAATATAGGTCTCCAGCATATACATATTATTAAAGAGAACGCTATGTTGGAGTTTCTTGTGGATGTACAAATGTTTACTAAAAAATACAAAAAGAGCACCATAGCTAGATAACTTTTCAGAAATGTTGTCTGTTTGATTGATAGAAAATTGCAATACAAAGATCAAATTTATGGGGATCAAAATCAGATACTATAATCTCTTCATTTATTAAAAATACAATTCAAGCTGATAAGAAATACTTTCCAAGAACAAAAGTCCATGCTTTTTATTAGATCTATAATATCGGGAGTATAAAAAAGCGAATTGTTTTTTTGATAATAAAAAAAAAAATGTGTGGACTTTAACGGTGCTCTTTTGTGGACTTAAGAGGAACTTGTTATTGTGGACTTTAACGGTGTTTTCTTGTGGACTTTAGCGGAGGTCATTTTGTGGACTTTAGCGGAAAGTTTGTGGACTTTAGCGGCGTTATGGACTTTAGCGGAAATTTGTTGTGGACTTTAGCGGTGTTGTGGACTTTAGATGAATTGTGGACTTTAACGGTGCCACACCGCATGTTACCCATAATTCCTTGCTATTATTAATTCCATCAACTATTGTTGTATATGTGTTATTAGGTTCGTAAATTGTTTTGTTATAAATTAGGCCGTTAGTTTTCTCAATTGAATTGTTTCATATTTTCTATACGGTACGGGTTTTTCTCATTGTTGAAGGCCGTACGGTTGCCTATAATTGCTTACATCCACTTCATTTGAACTTTGGTGGATAGTTGTCTCATTGGCAATCATACCACATCTCCCTAATTCTATATTAGATATTCATACTATTTGTAACAATTCACTAACATCTGTTCAAAAGTAAAAAGTTTCATGTCATTTTATTTTACCCAAAGGATAATTAACTAATCTGACGTCTTTGTGTAGGAAAACTCTTAATGCATACGAAATATAAATTGATCCGGAGATTTAAATGTGTGTGACCATGTTACAGCTTATCTTATTCGTAACATTTAAAAAATTTCGTTAGCTTTTTGTTTACGCATTGTCCTTATTCACATCGAATACCATTATGCTATATATTTTAATTAAAATTTTCTAAGTGTAAACCTGCACGCAAATCATGTGGTAGAACTTCCTACTTGAAGATTTGGAAAAAAAATCTTTATAGCGATCATTAAATCAAAACATGTCAAACAATGTCAATAAGTATTCATATCACATTATCATGTTCGCGTCCTCAATATATATGCATTTATTTTGTAACTGGATGTTAAACAGCAATACGTCACTTACAAATATGGCAAGTGTTTTATTACAAGTCTGAATGCACTTGATCGAAACCTATCATAGCCATAACAAGTGCTCTACATTTCTACAAAAAGACCCACCAAAATAGTGATCAGGGAATCAATGTTTTTGATTGGATTTTAACGCATTGTACTTTTTTATTAGCCATCAGATTTTTAGTAACCGTTAATTTAATGCACAGCTACTGATATTCATGAGTTGTTAGTTCTAAATTACAAGTTGCTATCTTCTTAACCCTAGGATATAATCATTAATTAATAATACTTAAAATAAAAACGGGAATCACCCATCACCAAAATATAAGAAAGATCTGAACAACAGACCACACAAACCACCCTATGTGTGGCCTATATTAATGCATATATTTTTCGTGTAGAAACATTTCACGATGGTACCGTATAGCGGGTTATTTTCGCAGGTGTAAAATTTCGCGATTTTCATTAAATAAGGTATACGAAATATTTTGGCGGTTCTTATTTTGGCGGATTCAAAACTTTTATCAATACCTTTGCATGTACACTTTGGAATTAGCGGAATTTATTTTGGCGATTTTGTTCTTTCCGCGAAAATAAGCGAAAATTTACACCCCGCGAAAATAACCCGCTATACGGTAATACAATTTAGTAAAAGGAAATGTGGGATAGTCTGTAATGGGACAGCATTTCCTATCAACACAAATAACCAAAGACACGGAGAGGTCAACTTACAGTCGTTTACAATAGGTAAGAGGGGCCTTGTGTTCATAAAACGTTGGAGTACGATTATCGTACTCAGACTCAGGATTTAACCAATCAAAATGCTGGATTTGGTGTTTCGAGAACGAATTCTGTACTCCGAGTACTGATAAAGTTTTATGACCGAGAGCCCTGGTGTCTATACGTTATGTTAAGCTCGAAAAAACATCTAAATCTAGAGTCTTAATTATAATTCAAAATTGCTGTGAATAAATAAAACAGATACTATCGAATGGTGAAGACTTTCTATGTTTCTGGTCCTTTTGTCGATATTTTTGGGACAATAAAAATGTATAAAAAAAATATCAAAGATCTTCTAGCAACCTCATTCCTCAAATAACAATTAACAGTGAGATATAACATAAGACAACCGATGACAAAGCTGCCGACTTTGGACAGGCATGGATTTTGACGAATGTTAAAAGGGTTATGGAGATCTCAACCCTCCCCCTTTTGATATCGATCAGTGGATTCGAAATTATTTCTTGTTCTGAAACGCCCTAGCCATCGCAGTATTTTGTTCTCTTCATACGGCACACGCTGACGCACTGTAACCAGATAACAGTGTCTTTAAACGTTTTATACGTGTTTTCATATATTGTCATGACAAGACGGAGACTAGTGTACTTTATGAAATTTAATATAAGTAAACAAATAAGAATACATGAGACCAACACAGGTAACTAAACAAACAAATAGGTCGGTGATATAAATAAGCACTCTCATTGTGTGTTCGGCTAGTCAAATCTTCATGTTCCAAATTTAAAGATCACTCTGTAAAAGGATTAAAATAGTGTTTATTAACCTAGATGTTAAGTATATACAATGGTCGATCAAATTGCTTCTAAAAAATATGATCATACAGTTCAGTGCAAAAGAGAAAAAGGTAAGATATTTCACTAAATTTAATTTATTTCAAGAGATATATACATGTAAATTTGAACGACAAATATCAAATAATAGTTCATCCGTTACGCTTTAATGTTTTTACCTTTAACATTGTTTATAAACAATCAATCAAAAATACCGTATATGAATTACAATATTTCAGGGTTTGGATGGATCGAGGTTCCTTCATTTCTGTATTCTATATTTTTTAAGGACATTTTTCTCTATTCTTTATACTTTTTACCCATTATTCTCTATTTTTTATGTTTTAGCACCTCATTATTATCTATTCTTTATATTTTTTGTCCTTTATTCTCTATTTTGTAAACCCCCATCCACACCCTCAGATTTCATTTGTATGTCGATACATCATGATATGCATAGAGGATCATGCAATGAATTACTTATTAGAGTCAAACTTATGCTTCATTATATATGACTGTATACTTTATCATTCCGAAATACACCAATTCGTAATGTTTTCAACCAAATGGTTATACTAATGCTTCATTATATATCTATAAACCTACTTTATTCCGTTATACAAGAATTCGTAATGTTTTTACCCAAATGGTGATGCAAAATCTACAAAATATATCCATTAATCTATATTGACCTATAGTTGTTAATTTCTGTGTCATTTGGTCTCTTGTGGAGAGTTGTCTCATTTGCAATCATACCATATCTTTTTATTTTTATATGAAATACGGACTTAGAAAGACAAAACACTTTAAAAATGAAAATTGGAATTGCTGATTAATTATAATTGAAAATAGGTAAAGAAATTTTTAGCATGGCTATAAAATCGATAGTAAAATTGAACACAATTGATTATAATAAGTTCTAACAGGTAACCTTTTGCTATTTGCTGTTGATTTGTAGTGAATATTCATCAAATATTTGCCACTGGACATTGAGCAAAACGTAAATCTGGCAATCATTTAAAAATGACTGGGAAAGTACAAAGTACTCTAACATCAGCAATTTAGGTTTTGTTATTGCATATCAATAATGCATCATAATCGCTTTCTGGTATTTGTTGCATCTTGAAAAAAAATTGTGAAATAGGTGTTTTCATCTTTCGACTGCACAAATAATCGATATAAGAATCGATCGTAATTTTTATCGATCGAATAACATAAACTAGGACTAGGGAGGTCGGTTGTTCTATCCGAGCACTCCGGCTTTCTCCACCTATAAAAACTGACCGCTATTGAATAGCCATTGTGTTGAAATTGGAGTTTAACACCAAAAATCAATCAATCATCTTTCGACCGTACAAGTAATCGAAATCATTATCGGTCGTAATTTTAATCGATTGAATAATACAAACACGTTGCATGTTTACGACTAGAGGCTGCAAAACTGAGGACTGTTCGTCACATTTCCTTATAAGCGGAGTGTTTTTAACCATTAGAGCACACCAATTAGATATAGTAAAGCACACTATTGCCGGATTCAGATTTGCCTTCACATGTATACGGTTAGGGTATTTCTTAGACACCAGATTGGTAGTATGGTACTATCTGTTTAGTAATGGGGTGTCGAACAATAAGCTTATCGGAATATCGGGACGACCTTTAAACATTTTTGCCACTAAAACGTTACGAACATATGCAATTCTTTAATTCAAAATCAACTAGCCTATTTAGTTCTACCGGTGTTTTTTTTTTTCTTATGAAAATTTTCATGTATTTCATCTAACTATTAAAACAAAGTCAGTGGTTGTTATTTCAAACTTTAAATAATCTATTAATATCGATTCCAGATTATCGTAATCCTTTTTTTACGTTAAACAGGAGATTTGTACCAATCGATTAAAGACTCAAGAGCTTGATTTGTTCCTAGGTGTTTTGATTTTTAAAATAATGAGTTATTCAATTTATTGTCGGCAAAAGTTTACCCAGTATCAAAATACGCATAAAAAGTGTTATAAATAGAGATCTTAAGTTTCAAACAAGTCCACAAAAAGTACACGTTATCGAACGTTCAAAAAAGTTTTGAGTATTTTTCCTTCTTTTTTTTTTAGCGGGAAATAGTTCTCTCTAGATTTTTCATACATTTAACACTGACACCTTTTTCCTTTCAAAAACTATGAAAAAATAACAAGGATTTTATAGAGTTTTCAAAAATTACTTTTAAAACTATATGCAATAAAATTCTGAAAAGAAAAGTAGGGGTTAGCGTGCAAAATGTTTATTGGCAGTACATGGATAAAACTAGAGTATTCAGAATATCTGACAAAAAGTCAAAAACAAGAGTAGCGAACATCCTTAATATGTCTTTAGCTAACAGATGCAGATAAGCCATGAAAGACGTCTAGTTCATGATTTTTAACTGTTATTTAATATTTTTGATACCGTTAGATAATTCCTGTTGTATGTGCTTAACACCGATCTGATTTTTGCAGTTGGTTTTTCATTGTTAACTGTCACACCACTGTCCAAAGTTAGGGAAGAATTGAGAGCTTGCAAACAAGTTTGACCCCGGCCGTTTATCTTTTTGTGTGCCTGTCTCATGCCAGTATAATAAAACTAAGCCATTCAAGTATACAAAACATATTCATCTTTTGATCAGTTTAAAGTATCGTATGACTTCAGGGGATCGTTGAGACTTTTGATTACCAATCATACCACGTGTCATTATTTTTGCATTTGAATATATATTGAGGGGTACAATCTCTACAAATATGCTACATGCATATGACAATCCTCTTCGCGTCATGATACATGTCTGACATACCAAAAGTCTTAAAGTAAAGAAAACCGATAAATATTCACATTGAAATGATACTATAAGTCTTTAAAGAGAGCTGATAATAATTTTACATTGAAATGACACAATAAATTTTGGAAAAGAGCTGATCAAATATTTATATCTTGTTTATGTAAACACAATCAAATTTATTTCACGTCAGTGTATTGGATCATTTTATCGCTGGACGTAAATATGTAAATATTATTAAAATACATGCATACGTTCGTTACAAAATTGAACTGCCATCATAAATCAAACAATGTGTTCTCTTTCGAATAAAAAAAAATTTCATATTGTATGGAAAATCTTCATAAGTATGAAAATTTGTATTCATATATATATCTCTGAAAAATATTTGTTATTCATAGATATATGTGTTCCGGACCAGATAAGTATTTGGACCATACGCGTATGGTCATGACCATATGAGTATATACTTATATGGTTCGGGTAATTAACACGATGCATGTTGAAACGTTTAATCCAGCATGTAACTATACAGTAAGACTTTCTACAAGTCTTACTATATAAATCATTGGTTTAGCGTATAATACTGTAATCTAAAGTTTATAAGGTATGACCCTTCGATTTAGACAAGAAAGAGGTTAAAACAATTTATAAATTTTAAACTTTGGGAGAATTTATAAAAAAAAAAAATACAAATATTTGATTTTGAGTTTGTTTAATTATAATTATGCCATGATGCGATAATAATTCTTTTCATAATTAATTAAATAAAATGACGAAGGATAACTCGGTAACTTCAATTCACAAGTTAAAAGTATGATTAACATATTTATATATGGTCGATTTGTCCTGACGCATGAATTTGGAAAACAACTTTAAGAAATATTTAAATCAAATATCAAACAAAAAGTCAACTGTTTTACTAAAGGACGCTTTATTTGACACTATCACCACGACTAGCGAAGGCTCTAATCCAGATTTGTTATTTGCCAATCAATACCAGACAAAAGAGACACGTGACTGGCAAAAATTCAAAAGTATCTATGTTTCATCGTCGAAGACGATAAAAAATAAGTACATTTTTATGAGTTTATATCGAACTATTTTTACACACTCACTATCTAGAAAGATAAAAATTCGATTTACAGAAAGCCTGTATCATAAATGACACATAAAATAAAAATTATTATACATTATTTAAATATGTTCGCTACTATGTTTATCTAATATTTGACAAAAAAATCAAAAAAAAAGATAAGCGAACATCCTGAATGGAAATTTTCAATATGTTTATTATATATGGTCGATTGCACATTTTACAAAATTAAAATGTATTCAGTAACCGCCTAAATGATTTACATGAGGCCACACATTTCGTTTTTGGAAAAGGTATGTTTAATAATATTTTTAACTTGAATTGTTGTTTGAATTTTCTATCTAAAAATACGGACGAAGTGATCACGAGAAATGTTTGACATAATATGCCAATGATAAAGTTTGAATTTCATATGCACATTGTATGTATATAGAAATTTCATGTGTGATTAAGAAATTAAAAATTTAAGACCATTGATATCAAGTTCAATAAAGAACAACAAGTGAAATTGCGAGCTACTGCTCACTGATGATACCCCCAGCCCAAATACTTGACGCTAAACAGGAAGTTGTTGCGTGATGAATCTGAAAACGCATCACACGGTATAGCTGACTTATATAAACACTGAAACCAAATTTCAGAAATCCTTGTAATGTAGTTCCTGAGAAAAATGTGACGAAAATTTTCAACTTGGATGTGTTGTGTAAAATGATGTAAGTGTTCGGTAAACAGGAAGTTGTTGAGTGATCAATCTGAAAACGCATCACACGGTACAACTGACTTATATAAAGCCTGAAACCAAATTTCAGAAATCCTTGTATTGTAGTTCCTGAGAGAGATGTGACGAAAAATTTTCATAGGACGGATGGACGGACTGACGGACTGACGGACTAACAGACAGACTGACGGATGGACGGATGGATGGATGGATGGACGGACGGATGGATGGACGGACAGACAGAGGTAAAACAGTATACCCCAATTTTTTAAAGCGGAGGTATAAAAAATATATTGAAAAAAGTTGTTGTCTCTTCTTTCATCCAAATTGAGCATTCGAACGTTGTGAATGGTCCTTTACTCAGCTAAAATCGAATTACAATCATATTCCTACTTTCTTTACCTATTTTATTGAGATTTGGAATGATGCAGGGGGCCTTCAATTCTCTATTCTTTATTTTAGGCAATTTTCTTTATTCTTTATGTATGGCCCATTTGTCTCTAGTCTTTATCTAAAGTTCCCAAAACAGAATATAATAGAATTTTAAAACCAGATTAAGAACTGTTTTGGAGATCGCTGATTGTCAGTTTTCCTACCGAAGGTCGGTGGTTCTCTCCTGGAACTCCGGCTTCATCTGCCAATAAAAACTGACTGCCACGAAATAGCAAATACAATGTAGTGCTGAAATAGGCGTAAAACATCAACCAATCTATCTATTAAGCAATATGACGGAAGAGCATTAATATATGTAAATGGTATTGTATTCATTCTGAATGTTAGCTCTGGCTGGAATGAATCAAACCTTGGCTGCTGCATTCGGAGTAATCGGATGCCAACCCCTGATAGAACAGTTACGTTATGAGGGCCTCGACGGTTTTACAGTATAACGAATAGAGGGCCCAGATAAAAAAAATAAGTAGGCCTAAAAATAAAGAATAGATAATAATTAGCAAAACAAAATAAACGGAATAGAGAAAAATAACATATTCAAATGTGTATTGCCCTATAAACTTTAAACAATAAGTTTGTGACAAATACAAAATAATTAAGTATACAATATAACAGAAATTCATATATTAACACAATCATTTCACTGCCTTCAGTTCTAATTATAAATGTACATAAAAATTTAAGAATATAAAAATGAAGTTCCCGTAATCGATACCCTCCGTTAACGTAGATCTTCAATCACGTAGAAATCCGTTGGTCTGGCCTAAAATGATTAAATGCAGGATAAATTGTATGTATTTTGGGAAAAAAATACATTATGACTGTTTAGAATTCAAATGATTCAAAAAATACTTCCAATTATTTAAAATAATTAAAAAGAGCGGAAATGTCAGAATATCCGTGACAAAGTGTCATAATGAGATCAGCTTGTTACCACATAGAATATAATAGACAAAAAACGTTCATTAAATCATTGCCAAAATAATCGATGTACTATTGTGGTCTGTTCTAAGGTAAACCAAGTGTATTAAGCCAACCATGAAATAGTTTATTATTATATCTGAATGTATACTTTCTAAACTTGTTTATAAAATGAAGGACTTAACAGCTCAATGAAGGTATGCATAGTTAAACTCATTAATCACCATTCAAAATAGTCTTCTGTGTGTGCCTGTCTGAAGTCAGGAGCCTCCTGTTCAATGATTGTCGTTGGTTTATGTCTGTCATATTTGTTTTTCATAAATTGTTTTGTTATAAATAAATTAGGCCGTTAGTTTTCTCAATTGAATTGTTTCATATTTTTGATGTCGAGGCCTTTTATAGCCGACTATACGGTATTGGTTTTTCTCATTGTCGAAGGTCGTACGATTGCCTATAATTGCTTACATCCACCTCATTTGTCTTATTGGCAATCACACTTATTTTTATTTTGAACTTAAATGAAAGAAAAATGCCTAAATGAGTTAGCTTAGTAAACCTTGACCTAATTTCTTGTATTTATTTCTTTGACAATACCAATCTAAACAGGACCGACTGTATTGTATGAAATGTATTTTGTACCTTACATTTCATATGTGAGGGGATAAAACCCTTTTTTGGCAATGTGGGTTATATGGGGTAAAAAAAAACCGGGATGTTGGACATAGGAGGGTAATAAAAAAAGAGGGATAAAGTTGAGTGAGAAAAGGAAGGAAAAAACGGTTGGGAAAAATATAAAAAGCGGGATTTGGGAAATGAGCATCCCCATGTCACCTCTCACTTGTTTTCGTTGAAATGTGGAAAGGGAGACAATGATTGCTCGCTTATTCGCTTAAACATTGTCTTAGTTTCAACGTACGTTTTTGGAAATGCAATTGAAAAACTTGATTATCACTGACACAGTTCAGTATTTCTCTGAATTTCAACCGCCTATCAAGTGTCTCCGTTTATGATTTATATACTATATACTAGTGGACCCTCTGGACGTCAGACTGAGCATAACCGAGTTTGGAGCTGCTCCCCATCTACTCTCATTGGCGGGTCAAAATGGGAACAGGTCGGAGGAGTTGAATCCCCCTTTTAATGATCCTTTTAATCACATTTATGTCGACCAAAATCTTAAATAGGTTAGAAATCTCCCGTGTCACCCCTTCATATGTGTTCGATAATATGTGGAGAGGAAGACGGTGACTGCTCGATTATTCTCTTGCACATTGCCTTAGTTTCAACTCATGTTCATGAAACTGTCTAACCTTGAGATTGCAACCTGATTATAACGGCAGTCCAGCATTCCTCTGAACTTCGACCGTCTATCACATGTGTCACATACCGGTATATCCTATACTAGTCGACAGAAGAAACGATACAAGGCAATGCATATGTAATGAAATTAGATACACTGTACCAAGATAAATAATTGCCCAATTGGTTTAATATTTACAGAGTGTTATTTTCTTATCAAAACCATTGATTTAAGGCAAATACGCGAATTAATTTTTTTTTTTGGGGGGGGATTTTTGTTATTTCAAAAATCGTATTTTCACCAAAAATTCAAAAATCGATATTAGAACTTAAAACTTTAAACTTGAACATGGTCTGATTAAAATTTTGAATGCCTCTTTGCACATGTGCAGATATTTGAATACTTAATTCTCATCTTCGAAATTAAGTGCCAACTTTTGACATCATTTTCCACCAAAAAAAAATTGGACCCCTGTGTTCAATAACACGGTATTTTCTAACTTCCCAATTTGGTCAGATTCTTTTAATCATATGTATTTGCTTGGCAAATGAATGTTTTTTATTGGATAATTTAACAGTTTTTTCTATTTATCATATTTTATGATAAATTGGAGTTCAAACTTGTGTATCGTTTCTTTTGTTGACTAGTATATTATTGTTTAGATAGACCCTGAGCCTACACATAGATAACCGACCTGGACTAGGGGCTAGACCCCTTATTTATATTTTTAGATCAGCTTGTCTGACTATCGCTGCATATAACTTTAAACACAGGATAATAATATACTCTATATGATAATGGAATATATACTAAAGGATATTCAATTTGATAATTGATTGGTTGATTGATTGATTGATTGATTGATTGATTGATTGATTGATTGATTAGTGTTTAACGCCACTTTCAGCACTATTGCGCTATATTGTGGCGGTCAGTTTTTATTGATGAAGGAAGCCGTAAAGTGGTATTAAACAGCAATCAATCAATCTATTAATATATCTATCATAGAAAACTAAGGTGTTTATGATGTTGTAGTCCTGCTTGTTGACTTATACCCACCTTCTTTAGTAACGTATGAAAGTATTGTTGGAGGGTAATTGTTCATGCATTATCAATAGTTTAAAAGAACTTAGATTTGTCATACGTTCTATTCCTACAAAGTAGTTACACTTTAGTCTAAAAATAGAATAAAGATCAACAAAAACGTGTATAGGTGTTTCCCTAATGTAAGGAACCTAATTTTGACATATACATAGTCATAGTAGTTACACTTTAGTCTAAAAATAGAACAACACGGTGCATACTGAGGTATTTCCCTAATGTAGGTTTTCTATTTAAACTCCCACCTGGAAAATACAGATTTGTCAAATATCATATTGTTATAAAATACAGGTAACAACATTCAAAGTGTTTAAAATAATAATGAAGGAAACTAAGGGTATTAAATATGCACAATGACATTTTATATGCATTTTTAGTGGGTGTACATATGTATTATATACTTAATGCACGATTTTATAAGCTCATTGTCAATCAGAATTTGAATGGATGTATAAGAACTGTTATCTTTTTGAACCACGTTTAAATAGTACGTTAAAAAATTATGTGCATCAACCTTTGTAATTCTCGTACTATTGATCATCTGAGGATCCAGGATTTTTGAAAAGGGGAGGGACACCAAGGCAATGCTAGCTAGCACTCATACCACATATTCTTATATCTAAATGCTAGCTAGGAGTTTGACTTGTAAAAAGTCTATGCACTAACCATACATTTAGCTCCATATGAGGAGGGGCATGGCCCACGGACCCCCAAAATCCGCCGCAGTTGATAGTCATCATTGTGATAAATGCACTAAAATTTGCGTTTTTCTACCAGTCATCATTGGCGTGTTTTTTTTTTCTTATTGTCACCATTCAGAAATTCTACATTCCTCCTCAATTTCGTTGCGTAATATCAGCTTTCTTTAGCTTAGATTACGCCTGGACCAATTAGAATGTCCTAAATATTGATATTCGAATTATGCAACAAAAATCGTTCATATATCTCCAACTTCATTGACTTTTTTTGCCATTCTCCAATCGATATACCAAAAATCTGAATGTTTGATGGAAAAAAAATTGTGAAACTTTCCCCAAATTTCCAATTTTTTTTTAGGAATATTTTATCACTGATAGTAGGATTGAAGTGAACTTTTATCTTCATAATCAGACTTAACTCAGAATAGTTTTATGCCGAGTCATTTTTATTTGGAAAACATAAAATTTAAACATCGGATTTCCCTAAAAGTAAAATTACTGTGTCGACGGCATAACACATTCCCAACGAGCTGGAGCCTAGTTTTATCGATCAAAAATTGTCATGGTTACTCGTTGACTCATGTAGAAACATTACAATTGAAAATTTGTCTAAATGATCCTTGTTTTGTTTTCTTTTGGTTCACCGAAAGAGTAATTACGTTTAATCACAAAGGTTAATGCCAAATAAATTTCTTTGTTCAAAGCATAGATTCACTAGTGCCGCTGCATGGATAGGAGTTTAACGATAAGAGAAGATAATATAAGCTAGGATTGTTACAAAATAACACAAATAAACAATAAAAAATACAAGTTTTTAACATTTGTAATATTGTCAGAAAAATAAAATAAACTACATGTAAGTCGTTTATAGATTTATTTCTTTATAACACATATTTTATATTTCAGACAAAATGGATGTCCATTTCTCACATCATTGCGGAGAAAATATAGATCTTTCTGAGGAAAAACAAAAGGCATCATGGAATCACAAATATTCTGGTGGAATTGCATTCTCTAGTCAGCCATTACGACAAAACACTAAACTTAAACTGGATTTAACTGGAACTGGACATGCCTATGTTGGAATAATAAAACGCGATCCGGCTTCAGTAACAAACATGCGAACAGCATTAGTAAGTGACATCGTTGTTGCAACAGAAGTTAAAGTGCATAAAAGACTAGGTGCCGTTAATATAATTTCCGATACAAAAGACGGAAGGAATTGTATTAGTTTTGAATCTTATAATGGAACAAAGGCCATAGACATTAATAGCGAAGTCTGGTTGTTTTTGTACATTAAATTTGGAGATATGATAGCTGTTCTACGTAAGTATTTTAATTTATAACAGCATTCTCAGCAGGAAAAGATAATATTGTGTTGAGTCAACGTTGACAGAAATTGTTACACACACTATAAAAGTACCTTTGAAAGTTATTATCCTATAGATTTTATTCTTGGTAACTTGTTTTCACGGACAGATTTAACAATTTTCTTTTATGACAGTCCTATTTTTAGTAAATTCATTCATAGAGCTTCGTTCAAGGTAATGGAGTCAATAACAGACTTGGGAAGTTGTTCGGTCGTACCACTGAAACAAGTAACGAAAAGTACAATGGTTTAATTTAGCTTCTCTGAAAACAGATTGGGTACTTTAAACGGTATTTTTAAACGAAGTATATAAATTACTATTTATCTATGACGAGAAACGGACTGAATCACGCAGATAATGAATTATAAATAGTAGTAAATAGTGTAATAAGATATCGCCGGTTAGATCATCTATGTAAAATGTCAGTACGGGTATGAACAGATTAAATGAAAGAATATATATCATTTTACCGTCGTCATTGTATAAGTTTTCTATTCATGTAAATGATTTATATTTTGTAGTCATTGTAGTACGCGATAATTTTGATAGTTTATACCTCCTTTTCGAATTGATTGGATAGTAGCATTCTTCATTTTTAAATCATTCGAGATCAGATGAGAAAAGGGTTTGGCTAACCTGTTTGTTTCTATTGATTTTTTAGAGTGTGGGGTTAATGAAAATAAGAATGAGATAAGAAAAAGGTCTAGCTAGATTGTTCGTTTTTATGGGTTTGTTTTTTGATGTTTTTTTCCTTTGGGCAGTGGGGTTGAATTGACTAAGATTGTTCTCAACTGACTTCAAATGTCTGTTTGTCACATAGCTATGAAAGTCTGGATGGGGTTTACAGAATAGAGGTTTATAGGCCAATACCACAGAATAATTGACCAAAAGATAAAGAATAGAGAAAAATAGGCCAAAAAAATAAAGAATAGGAAATAATGGGGAGTTAAAATATAAAGAATAGAGAAAAATGGCTTAAAAAATTATAGAATACAGAATTGAATGACCCCCCACCCAGACCCTCAGCCATATTTATTTGTAGCTTGTAAATACTGTAATACTGTCGTAAAACTTATAACAATACTGGTATCTCCATTCTCGCGCAACTGAAAGAAAATACTGCTTAATTACACAATTTGAAATGAGTCACATGACTTCTGCGCTTGCGCTTACAATTACAGACTATCAGTATGTTAACTGGTTTGAACCATAGTATGTAAAGTATGTACGTACTTGGATTTTGAAATGACATTACAATGGTATTTTCCATTTTAGACTCAGAAACTATCCAGGACAGATGTTTTCATCATGTGACCGGATGCAACATTCGATGTTTAGACGAGGACAGAAGATCTGTTAAACTTCTAGTGGAAAATCCCGCCGCAGTGTGCTGTCTTAATAAAAAACTGAAACCGGGACATTCTGTAACATTTCAAACAAAAGCAATAACAGAAAACAGAAATAAACCAAGCCGGTGTCATATTAAACTTGGGATTATCAATCTTGATCCGTCCGAATTAAAATCACGTGACCCGGAATCGTTCCTAGTTGACAGTAAAATTGCGTGTCCAACACGCTGGAATATCGTCCAAATATTTTTGAAGGAAAATATTGACGGTGAATTAAAATTATATTTTACACATACCGGTGAATTGTATTTTAGCCATGACTCTGGAATTGAAGGAACACACAAATGCCATTTAAACGATACCTCGTCTGGAATTTCAATTATATTAGACTTATTCCGAGCGGAAGCAAGTGTCTCAGATTACCATCATGAAGAAAGTGGCGAATTTGAAGAAAAAGACTATGATTACGTTCGACCGGAAGTTGAGATATCCGAAACTATCAAAAAGAAACTTCAAATTTCAGACAAACAACATGAAAAAGAACGTTCGTCGCGGGATCGTTTGTCGGAAGACAGTGGTTATCTGGAAATGGAAGATGTGTCTGATAACCACAAAACATTATCCCCTAATTGTAAAATAAGTCCTCGGCTTACAAGGTGTGGCATGTACAGAAAAACCCATTCGTCGTCTAATGTTCAAGAATGTAAATAAAATATTATTTATGTGCAATTTATACAGATATGAGACAACGAACCAAGTCCAGCTTTTTAAAAAAGCTACCTTTTTCGGATCTTTTGAGCCTTGTTTAGTGGTTTAACGAATTTTAAATATTTGTTTAGGCACTATAAATACGTTATATGATCTCAATAGTATGTAGGTTGTTTCATGATTAGATATGTTACAATAGAGTTTTAAAATTCAACAGCATATTTAATGTGATAATGTTAATTATATGGATAAATATCCTATATCATTCACTCTAAACAAGGCTCTCTATTTCATGAATATTAGTTTGATATATTTATTAGCTAAAAACCCCTGTTGATAATTTATTGTTAATCTATTTGTTACAAATAAAAATAAAAAACAACCATTAAAATTTGTCAATTTAGATACGGTGCTGATGTCTGTCAGTGTCGAAAATTAAGTGTCAATATGCCTAAGAATCATGGCAGTGGTGAAAACATGACAAACAAACAAAAAAACACTCAAGTTGACATTAATTTGTGTTTAAATTGTATAATGGTGCACGAATATGACATTCGTTTCCTTTTCCTGCTCTGGTAATGCAAGATATAATTTGGTTGAAATGCACTAGAAATTAACAATTAAGGGGAACTAACTCCGTAATTTGCTATTAATCGAACCAAAAGTTTTCTAGATATTTCTCGAATTACCAGACAAGCAGAAACGAAAGACATACAATTTCTATGTCAGGATGTGGCTAACGTCAAAATAGGATGGTTAGGTCGGTAGGTTTTTTTCGGCCATGTTTTGAAATTTTTCTAAATTGCCTGATTCTTAGAAAGACTGGCACTTAAGAATAAAACAAACAAACAAACAAACAAACACAATATAAAAACAGATCCATATTTTACACTGCGCTTAAAAATACCAAATATTCGTTTTATACTTACAAATGAGCTTGTTGGGGTATTTTTCGTTATCGTTGAAAAACTTTCTAGACATGTGAACTTACTGTAAATCAACTTACATGTGAGAGCGATTTATTTTCGTGACTTTCGAGTGAAGAAAAATATTTTAAAAGCGAATTTAGAAGAGAGAATGGAAACGGGGAATGTGTCAAAGAGAAAACAAGCAGAAAACAGCCCAAGACTATAACAATGGGTCTTCAACGCAGCGAGAAAAAATAGTTGAGAATATGTCAAACTTGGATCTGCTTGATCTTATATGAGTACACGAACATTGTAATAAAATCGCGAATGTAAATTGACGCGAAATCGACTGAAAAGTGCTTAAACACGAAAAAAACTTAGTTTACAGTAATTGTAAGATTGTATATCAAACTTGGCTTTAGAATGCTTGGTTAAGGCGAGGTTTTTAACCTTTAAACGATAAACTATTGAACGTCAAGAAGTATTATATTCTAATTACAAAATGAGACCAGTGAATGAAAATGGAGACGGAATTTTTCAGATGAAATTAAAATATGAATTATTTTAGTCGATATAAAAAAATAGGAATAATTCCTCCGGAAATTGTATTAACAATATCTTTAACAAAAACGTTTTTTTTTTGCTGTGATTTTGTGTCATGGATGGATACCCCATATCCTTTGTTTTTCTATCATATTATATAGCTTTTTTATTTGCTTGGAAGCGGTCCCACATCAAAAGCATGCACCCCCCCCCCCCCCCCCCAAAAAAAAATAAAATAAAAAATAAAAGACTGTCAGACGTCAGAGCAATTTCGGACTAATAATTTTCCTGAATGGTCTTCATTTCTAAATTCTTTCAGTTTAGACCATTTTGGTCCATTCTTTTTACTTTATCCTTTATCTTACATGCCTATTTTCTCTATTCTTTTAAAACTGTGTTCCCCTTCATTCTCTATTCTGTAAACCGAATCCAGATTCCCCTTTATGTCACAGGCAGTTGGGAAATGATAGACTCCCCTTTTTTTCAATAGTTCAAAAAAAAATTGTTTAGTTAGTATTCTGTAACATTTTTACTGTGTTCTTGCTCTTTTCTATACGATGTTAAAATAACAGTAGTTTATAAATTATAGAGGGTCAACATTTATAAACTTTTGTTATTGTAAAATTTAAAATAAAATTCAAACTTAAAAAGAGGATCCATTCCCCAAGCGCCTATGCTTTCTGTGTCTGTCCAAATCAAGAATTTTGTCAGTGGTTGTCTCCCTTTCATCATATGTTTGTATACCTATACTCTATAATGTTGGTCATGTTTAAGTCTAATGAGACGTTAACCTTCGCCATCTATATCTACCAACAAATTTGTTTTACATGCACACGTATAAAAATTGCGGTTTCTATCCAACGCAATCATAGGTTTGAACGTTGTTTTCAATTTAGACTTGTTTATATTTTTTCGTTTGGGCTTGTATTATATTTTCCTTCGGGTTTATATGATCCGTTCAATGACATCCTATTTCGATTCTTTAAAATTCAAGAGTCTATCCTAAATTGAGGTAAATTATATGGCCTTCCAAGTACCGTTTCGATCCCTAACATCACTGAAGAGACATTAATTGTCGAAATCCGGATATGGTGTACAAATTTTTGCACCTCATGTTTGTGGTATACCATCTTTTTCACAAGTTTATTGTTTTCTGTTTGGTATTGAATTAATATTAAGATCCATTTCGTTAGATCTGGTGATCAATCTATTTGGCAATTGCCAATGGCAGTCAGCAGGGTTTTTAAAGAACATCAGTTGTTCGACCTGTTAGTCAAATGCGTTTTGTTAAAATAGACTTTTTCACTTTTTTTGGTCTTTTGGAAATTGTTATAAAATTATATATATATATATATATATATGTTAGGGCTATCAATGTTTGATATTATGGATTTTTTCAACTTCCAATGGCAAATGTTTTAATATGAAAATAAGGAGATGTGGTATGATTGCCAATGATACACCTGTCCACCCAAGTTCAAATGAAGTGGATGTAAATAATTATAGGTTACCGTAACAATATAAGCATGTTATGGGGGAGAATAATTCAAAAATAAACCATTTGGGTAACTTTTGCAAAGAGAGTACACCGGGAATGGCGAGAAATTGAGACTTTCACTAGAAAAAGACGATTTGTAACGACAAATCGAGTGATCAAAACTTGTAATAATACTAAACCGAAATAACGTAGTAGCCAAAAGGACAATATACAAAGCCACAAGACGTCTCAGAAGGGCAATTTTCTGATATGTCGTTAGTCTGACAGCACACACCAAAATAGTTGTAGAGCGTATTTAAGTTACATGCACACAAAACGTCAAAATCAATGTGTATCATATTGAAAGTTCAGATAGCGCAAAAATCCGGGTTTAATTAAAATTGAAATCCCTTTGTATAAAATAATTTATCAACACTTCAAAAGTGCTTTTTTATTTTGAAGAATAAAAATAATAATCAAACGGCATAAGCTTGTATGACAATAATTTAAATTTAAATCTTGTTTGAATGATCTACGTTCGATTGTTTTAACTGATAAATGTATTAACAAATATACCTCTCTCTCGTCTTGCTACTTATTCTCTTAAAAAAATATCAATACTCCTTCTAGAACATAACAGTATGTAGATTATAATAATCATGAAAGGACAAAGTATACCGGAAGGTACAAATGTATATAAAAATTTTGTAAATCCAAGGTTTGTATTGTCAAATTTCCGTAATCAATAACAATTTCCGATATCACTAACAATTTCCTTTATCACTAACATTTCTCATTTACAACAGAATAAAAAGATAGAGGTATTTATGATACGAATGTTATTTCATTTCCGAAAACAATATCATCATTTGAAGGTAGGTCGATAAAAGCAATATATATAATACCTTAAATAGTTCTCGTTTAACTTTTTTTTTTTTTTTTATCTCATTGTTTGTATTGTATTATGAAAAATTATTGATGTTGTAATGTTTATGCCCTTTGGGGCCCATAATTGGAAATAAAATATCTTATCTTATAATATATGTTACAGTAAAAAGTAAAATAACAAAAATACTGAACTGCAAGGAAAATTCAAATCGGAAAGTCCCTTATCAAATGGCACAATCAAAAGCTCAAACACATCAAACGAATGGAAAACAACGGTTATATTTCTGACTTGGTACAGGCATTTCCTTATATAGAAAATGGTGGATTAAACCTGGTTTTATAGCTAGCTAAACCTCTCACCTGTATGACAGTCGCATAAATTCAGTAAATGTGTTTAATTATGGATTGCTAGAATGTATAATCGCTAAAAATTTCAGGAATTATGCATAATCACTAGAAAAAAATGTCAGGGATTATACATAATAACTGGAATGAAGAGACAATGAATAAAAGTTAAATAATTTATTCTATAAAATTGTATTTAAACATCTTTAGAAACATGAATATTAAAATGTTATAAAGCACAATACTCTAATACAATTCAATTATTTTCACAAACTACATTGTAAATTTGGATGGCATCTACTATTTCACATTTACCGATCAATCAATTTCAAATGCTCTGCTTTTCGGTTTGTTGCAGCATCACTCACTTAAAAAAAACTTGCCTTTTACATATTGAATTCAATTTTACGGCATGTTGAAAAGGAAACAAATGTTCAAACGAAACAATTGAAGGTGCCAAAAAATAGTGAATCAGCAACCTCAGATTGATTTCTTGTGTAGGATCCTAGCCAAATACTGTGTTTCGTAGCCAGGCAATATCTTTTGCAGTTCGTTCATGGACCATAACCATTATATTTTTTGGGTTTCCCTTTCAGCGATCAACATGCGGAATCGGTATCAAAATATTACAGCCAATGTTTAGGGAGCTACCATTTGATTTTTAGGGGGGGGGGGAGGCTAGGATGAAAAATTTTGTCCTGCCTTATTATTTCCCCCTCTATTCGGTCCTGCCTTTTTATTTTTCACTCTATTCGGTCCTGCCTTTTTTTTTTAGTTTATCCTGATTTTTTTTTTACATAAATAGTCATCCTGCCTTTTTTTTTGCAAATAATTTCATCCTGCCTTTTTTTTACTCAAAACTCATGTCCTGCCTATTTTTTTTCAAATTTCATCCTAGCCCCCCCCCCCCCCCCCCCCCCTCATAAAAATCAAATGTTAGCTCCCTTATCTCCTCCAAAATTGAGTTCAATCTGTCAAGCGTGCGTTCTGTCTATCTTTCTGTACTTTTAGTTGCGTTTGTTAGCTAAGTTTGAATTCCTTGTCCATTTGAACTTAAAAAACACCAGACAGTTGTTCAATAACTTTCATGGCCATTCTTTTCCTGCAAACTACAGGCACTGTGAATTTACATTCACAACATGAATGTGCATTGGATACTGTTTTCGGCAAACAATACAATTCATGGCATACATGTGCAGTTATCAACATAATTGAGAATTT